AAACTCCCCCTATTCCTTCTACAAACAACTCGCGGTCCTTTTGTAAATTCATATAGACTTGTAGATTTTCTTTAGGGCAACAAAAGAGAACAATCTACCTGTCTACTTTGCTACTCTTGTTTCCATGACTCGTACATCTCTTCATCACTTTTGATCATCAGAACCATACAATATAATATATCTTCTGACATTGCTTAGCGTAGATACAATATTTCCTGGTGTCAAATCTTAGCTAGATGATGGGGGGATGTACCATGAAAGGAGGTCACGGGGTAGGTACAATGCTGTCCAAATCAAAACCTCAACAGTACAACCAACAATCGACAGGCATGCAAAGTTCCTTATTGGTATAAAAAGATTCAGTCCCAAACATGTTGTTAATGATGATCATTGATGAAGATAACAGTTCACGTCCATCTCACAGTTTCACAGGCAACAGTTCTGTAAAATTACATACAGTTGTATATCTCCAACAGTATCATATGGTACCGTTTGGGCTATGGTACTGTATGGTACGGTAATATATGATTCCACAGACTAAAATAGTATTGTACGGTACCATGGACACTGTGCAGCACCATAATAGAATGGTACTGAACGGCACTATTAATGTACCATGAGTGCAGATTGGTGGTGTTTATCAAGCCATTTGATATCACAGAATCAAGACTCCTATATGCATATCATCAGGACTTCCAGCACTTACCAAAGTCAAAAAATCCACCCAGTGTTAGGAGCTATTGCCTATCAAGAATTTGTTAAATGCCTGTATTGGGATCAATGCTAAATCATTTGATGCGCTCAAATTAAGATGAAGAAACTCCATTCAGTTCATTATAAAAACTTATGGAGAGCCATAAAATCATGGAAAGCCCATTAGGACAGATTCTATGGTGCTTAGCAAAAAGTAAATTGTAGTTATCCAGGGAGAAGAGTGTGTCACAACTTACAAAACAGTGAAAGTGTTAGTGGCAACATGTCCTTTTACCAAGTAGCCAAATTTCCAAACTCATTTCGTCAACTGGCTGATGTTCCATTCTCTGGTGTTTCAAAGTACAGTGATGTATCAATCACATTCTGATATGTAACTAAGTATTGGACAGTCTTTCCAAACTTTCCATTCTTCATGTCATTCTTGAATGTTTGGTACTTTGTGATAACTCATTGTTTTCAATATTAACTAAGGCTTTAGTTGATAAAGCAGTAGTATAAGTTATTGAATGATTTGAAATGCAATACAGTATATATTCTGCTCGAAAATTCTGTGTTGGAACAAGACGAAGTCGAGTGCCAATACATAATATCGAGAGCAGAATATATCCTGTATTGCACCTCAAATCCTATAACGCTTTTATCTTGTGGTCTTAGACCAATTAATTTTACTCAGGAGGTAATTCCTATGAAATATTCTGCATTGCTACTGAGATTGTCCCCTCTGTACCAATATGTTCTGTGTTGCTACGGAGATGATCAATGAGAACAATCTCAGTAGCAATACAGATTGGTACAGCACACGAACTGATCATTCAGAGGGCTTCATTTTACAGGTCATACGATAAGTAAGCTGAATATCCTCAAGATTCATGGAATTTTGAAATCAACAAGGATTCCAATTCCTCATTCATGGCTTTGAAGGCCTTGTTGAAATGTTTTCCACTACCATCAATTGAACTGCATATATCAAAGATTCTAAAAGTATGTCCTCGAACCCTTTATCTCATATATTTTTTCCCATAGCACAAAAGTGTATAGAATGTCCCCAATCTAATGAAAGCATTGCAGTGAAACATTAAAGGATCAGGCAATATTATAAACCTTCTTTTCTGCCGCTAAATCAAAGTTTGTTAATGTCACCTTTTTATGTCCCCACCACATAGTGTGGGGCCATATTGTCGGCCTAGGCGCGTCCGTCTGTCCGTCCGTACGTCCGTCCGTCCGTCTGTCCGTCCGTCTGTCCGTACGTCCGGGAGTTTTCTTCAAAACCGCTACAGATATCACCTTCAAATTTTCAGGGATAACTTATGAGTGCATACAGATGTGGATGAAAAAATTTTAACTCGATACCTACTTCCTGTCGGCCATTTTGAAGTCAAAGGCTAAAATCCTTGTCTGCAAACTTTAAGAAAAAACGGCTTCACAGTTACTTTTAAAACTTTAACATCTTGTTCAGCTCACTTCATTTTAGATCTGATTAGGTTTTGGACCTGTTAGCTCAGTCATGTCAGCCATTTTGAATGTCTTAAGAAAAGTTAGCGCACGATAATACTTTGTATCATATTGAATGGTGTTTTTGAGTTTTCATACTTTAACTATTTAGTAGCTTTATAAATAATTTCAGATCTACTTTGTTGTAAAAGCCTATGTTATTGTTAACAGTAGTAATATGTGATAATTTTGTAAGAAGAAATCAGCAAAAACACATAATCACTTTTTTATTGTCGGCCATTTTGGATTTTTCCGTCCTAAAATCTTGTCTGTGAAGTCTTGTCTACGTGTTTTCAGGTGAACCGTTTGGTGGATCAATTTCAAATTTTCAGGGATGATTCTTAGTATAAAAATCTAGATCTGATTTGTTTTTTGGCATTCTGGGTAAATGTCAAGGCAGCCATTTTGGATTTTCCGTCCTAAAATCTTGTCTGTAAAGTCTTGTCTACGCGTTTTCAGGTGAACCGTTTGGTAGATCAATTTCAAATTTTCAGAGATGATTCTTAGTATGAAAATGTAGAACTGATTAGTTTTTTGGCATTCTGGGCAAATGTCAAGGCAGCCATTTTGGATTTTCTGTCCTAAAATCTTGTCTGTAAAGTCTTGTCTATGCATTTCCAGGTGAACCATTCTGTAGATCAATTTCAAATTTTTAGGGATGATTCTTAGTATGAAAATCTAGATCTGATTACTAGTAGTTTTTTGGCATTCTGTGTAAATGTCATGGCAGCCATTTTGGATTTTCTGTCCTAAAATCTTGTCTGTAAAGTCTTGTCTACGCGTTTTCAGGTGAACCATTTGGTAGATCAATGTCATATTTTCAGGGATGATTCTTAGTATGAAAATCTAGGAACAGATTAGTTTTTTGACATTCTGGCTAAATGTCAAGGCAGCCATTTTGGATTTTCCATCCTAAAATCTTGTCTGTAAAGTCTTGTTTACATGTTTTCTAGTTAACTGTGTGACGGACCAATTAAAATTGTGTTGGTAAAGTCTTGTCTACTCATTTTCAGGATAACCATTTGATGGGATCACCCATTGGTGGGGACATTTTGTACACATTTGTGTTCTTGTATTATAATCTCATCAAAAAATTTATTTGTGAATGGCAGACTATCATTATTTCAGTTTTAATGTATGTAGGAGACAGTTCCTAAACCTTAAAACAATGGTATTTTGCTGCATAATTTTCTAGGATATGATTCTTTATGAACTAGCCCCCCCCCACCCAATCTACACAAATTCACAACAATCAAATCCTGTTTCTAAAGAACCATCAAGAAATATTTCAAATTAGGGATGACATATACATTTATTCTGTCTGAAAAATTGGTGGTTATTTGCTGCATTGTTGTAAAGTTATTAATCATTTTCAATGTATCCCCTACTATTATCATGCGGGAGGGGTGGTGGAGGAGGGAGAGGGGTTATAAATATTGAGGGAGGATAAAAAAAATCATAGAAAGTGTTAACTGATCCAAGGATCATACCATCTGTTGAAATTGTGATAATACTGGCTATACAGTCGAAGTTATCTACTGTTAAGTAGGCTTGATCATTCAGTTAAATGCTACGCCCACTTTGGATTAATTAGAGGGGGTGGACCATAGAAAAAATTTTTTAAAATATTTTTGATTGAGATTCAATCGTCATTCTAATTTTAATGCATGCAGGACATATATATGCAATTTTCTAAACCTTAAAACAGTGCTATTTTTGCAGCATAACTTGCTAACATAGGATTTTTTCGTTAACTAGCCCCCAAAAATAGACATAAATTAGCAAATTTTGACAATCAAATCCTGTTTCCATAGCAACCATCATACCTATGGTCACCAATTTTTACCAGTTATCAATGACATATATGTGCATATATTCTGAAAAAATTGTTGTTATTCATAATGTTTTTGTAAAGTTATTAATTATTTTCTATGTAACCCCTACTTTTATCATGCAGGTGTATAAATATTGATTTTTCCCTAAACGCTGTAAAATTTTGCTTAAATATTGCCAAATTGTGGTGAGAATTACAAATTAGGATGTAACTAACATGGTCTCCAAAATTCTACCTCCATACTGCAATTTAAGGGCTAGCCCATAAGCTATGTATATTCCTAATCCATACAGTCTTATTGTTTGAATGATTGTCAATCTTTGGTTTGCGTAATTGGATTCACTTAAATTATTTCTATGGTTTGATTTACCGGATGGTGTATTTAAGACACAACTTAAGGCAAAATAGTCAGAAAAATATATTTCACTACGTTTTGTTATCATTTTATAATGAGATCTATTTCACTCATTCAGCAATCTAATAGTTATTGAAGTTTTGGAGCGAAATGTGCCCTGCTTTGACGTTATTGATTTTCATCGACCAATCAGCGCAGCGGTAAGATGAGTACACTTTGGACTTTGGGGAAAGGTGAATACTGACCCCAAAGGTGGGCGAGTTTTTTGTAGAATGAATCGGGGGATTTTTTTCATGAATTTCACTTATGTTTTTCATCCAAAAAACATAAATACACTTTAAAACATTTTGTTTTTCTGTCCTCAAATTGTGTCGGTAAAGTCTTGTCTACTCATTTTTAGGATAACCATTTGACGGGATCACCTATAGGTGGGGACATTTTGTACACATTTGTGTTCTTGTTTTCTGATGTTTTCAGAATTTAAAATTTTCTGTATTAAGGAACACTTGCTGACTCATAATAGTGAATTGGAATAAGCAACCAAAAAGCAATTCCATTCCAATTCCATTGTCAGCTCTTTTCCTAACCAATTGTTTATTTTTCCAGTTGGTCACAGTGTCGTCAATGTAGATGGCTCCACTAATCTGGTATCTACCTCCGTAGAAGACAACCCTGGGGGTTTCCATGCCTATGAGGTACTTTCCCAATTGCCAGGAACAACTAGCGGAGCTTATCTGATAGCTCAACAGACCAACTCTAGTCAGGCGATACAGCTCAGTAGTAGCACAGTGGGGTCAGACCATATCATTGTGCACACATTGCCCATAACATCTGAACAGGTACGAATTTAAATAAACTATGTACATATTAATTTTGTATTTTATTGTCTACTTATTTTTTTTATGTCCCCACCACATAGTGTGGGGCCATATTGTTGGCACGTACGTACATCCGTCCATCCGTCCGGGCAATAGCTCAAATACCGTTGGCCCGATTTTGTTTATATTTTGTACACATATACCCTATGGGGGTAGAATGTCTGCTCGAAAGCCGATTTTCAAAATGGCCGCTCGTTTCAAAATGGCGGCCATTTTAGTGCCGAATTTACAGTAATTTAAATGTAGGTGCAATATGTAACATTGTAATAGCAATATGTTTTAGATGTAAAAAATTATATAGGACATTAATAAAGCTAGAAGTGTAGATATTAAAGAAGCACATGGCAGCCATCTTGAAAAAAGGCGGCCTTTACTCGTTATTTAAAGATTTTTGCTGTAACTCGAAAAGTAGTGGAGCGATTTTGTTCATATTTGGTATGTGAATACTACAAACATTGCACACTGTCTAAAAACACTTTTGGTAGAATGTTGCTGTTTTAAAAAATGGCCGCCATTTTGAAAAATGGCCACCATTTAAACGTATTTTACTATAACTCAAAAAGAAGTGGAGCCATTTTGTTCATATTTGGTATGTGAATACTATAAGCATGACACACTGTCCTATGACACTTTTGGTAGAAGGTGGCCATTTTGAAAAAAATCTTTAAAAATGGCCGCCATTTTAACGTATTTTACTATTACTCGAAAAGTAGTAAAGCGATTTTGTTCATATTTGGTATGTGAATACAATAAGCATGGCACACTGTCAAATGACACTTTTGGTAGAAATTTTTCAAAATGGCCGCCATTAAACTCGAAAAGTAGTGGAGCGATTTTGTTCATATTTGGTATGTGAATACTATAAGCATGACACACTGTCCTATGACACTTTTGGTAGAAGGCGGCCATTTTGAAATTTTTTTTGAAAAATGGCCGTCATTTTAACGTATTTTACTATAACTCGAAAAGTAGTGAAGCGATTAAGTTCATATTTTGTATGTGAATACTGTAAGCATGGCACACTGTCTAATGACACTTTTGGTATTTTAACATATTTTACTATAACTCGAAAAGTAGTGGAGCGATTTTGTTTATATTTGGTATGTGAATACCATAAGCACGCCACACTGTCTAATGGCACTTTTGGTAGAAGGTGGCCATTTTGAAAAATGGCCACCATTTTAAAGTATTTTACTATAACTTGAAAAGTAGTGGAGCGATTTTGTTCATATTTGGTATGTTAATACTATAAGTATGGCACATGGTCTAATGACACTTTTGGTAGAAGCCGGCCATTTTGAAAAATGGCTGCCATTTTTGCTATATTCTTTGTTTGTAAAAATGCCATCCATGGCTGTTCGATGGGATTCGCTACACTTTGGCGTTGCCGTTGTTCTGGTTTTATGAAAAAATCAAGAAATATCATTACTTTCTGTGTAAATTCATCACTCTCGTAATATATTAATAACAACTTAAGTTCATTTACTTCAGAGTAAGATGTTTTATTTTTGACGTTTTTTATGACGTGTTATATAGGTGAAACCAGGCGTGATTTAGGAACAAGAATTAAAGAACATAAGAGGAATACCATGAATGGTGATGTAATGGCATATGCAATAAAAGAACATTCCCTTGATTATGATCATACAATTGACTGGCAAAATGCCTCAGTGATAGATACAGAAAATAATAATCTCAAGCGTAAAGTTAAAGAGGCAGTTTATATAAAGCAGTATAAACCAATGTTGAACAGGGATGCAGGATATCCTATAAGCCCTGTATTTTATGAACTTCTATGAATTTATATCAATATTTCAATTGTTTCCTAGTCATAGTTTTATATATAAAACATTGGTGTTTCTATGAGTAGTTTTTTATCATAGTTTGTTGTCATAGTTTATTGTCATTGTTTATTATTGTATTGTTTATTGTTACCTTGGTATTGTATTGTTCAATTATTACGTCATAAATAGTTTAACTGTGTACTTCCATTTTGAATCTTGATAAAGCTAGTTGGATGATTAGCGAAACATCGAAAATAAAACATTTTACTCTGAAGTAAATGAACTTAAGTTATTATTATCATTACTTCCTGTTTATGTTTCGTCCCATACAAACATAATCCACAAGGTTAGTCATAGCCTGACATCTATATATACAACGAAAAACTTATCAGCATAGTATGTGTATAAAAGTCGACTAAAGTCGATGTCCCACACTTAACGATAAGATGAATTAGTCGACTTCCCGGTCAAAAGAGTTAAGGTGGCCATTTTGGAATTTCCGTCTTAAATTCTTGTCTGTCTACACATTTTGAAGCAAATGGTTGTACGGATAATTTTCAAAGGACCTTATACACCCTCCATTGGGATCTCCCCATGGGAAAAAAATAATTCATCTGATTTTTCAAAATGAGTATTCTGCTTCAATTATTACATTTATATGCACACTAGTATCTTGTTGACCTATATTCAGCACTGTATTGATGTATAGGCCACTTATTAGGGTCATAATTCAATCATGAAGTGTAGAGGCATAGATTCCAAACCAGGAAGTATTTTTGTGTCTGTCAAAATCCATTTACATCCTATGCATCCCTGCATCTTATCCAAATATGTTACTACATAATGAAATATAATAGTATAATCTTTGGTTTTACAAACTTGTATGATATTTGATAAGTGTAAAAGTTGTTTTTGGAGCATTTTTCTATAGCCATTTTGTAGGGGAAAAAATGATGAAAAAATGTACAATCTTTTAATTTTAAGTATGACCTGAATCGATTGCAAACTTCATATTTGCACATTTGATGAGATAAACCATTTGTGTCGTATTGTGAAATTATTAAGTTTGCAATCGATTCAGGTCATAGTGTATTTTTGGTATTTCTGTGATAATCAATGGAAACCAATGGCCTCTATTGGGATCTGCTGATATCCTCATGTTAAGTCAATGGTGCACAGCCCCATGAGTGTCAATACAACCTTACTGAACGAAATGATCCCTATCTCAGCTTATGTGTGTCCGAGCACTTTAATATTTTTTAAAGTATTATATGACATTTTATTCTTCATGCTACACCTACGAATAATTCATTTTGACCATAGGGATATTTGCCAATAATTGCACCTTGTCCTTTTGAGGGATGATTCTTTAAATGAAAATCTAGAACTGATTAATTTTTAGACATTCTTGGTAAATGTTAAGGTGCATGGCCATTTTGGATTTTCTGTCCTAAAATCTTGTCTGTAAAGTCTTCACGGTGGGGATAGTCATCACGTGACCTTCGTATTTGATGGTGTCTGAACCAGGAGTACGATTTTCTCGATTAAGCCAGAAAAATGAATATTTTTCATATTTATACTTTGTTAACAGTGTCAAATTTCTCCCCACCTATGTATACTATCTCATTCTTTCAAATGAACCTAAATTGACAAGCAGAGGACGCATATTATTTGAGATATGACTGTTTTTCGTTTCGAAAAATGATGGTGTCTGAACAGCTCTAAAATTCTGTATGATGGTGTCTGTACAGATTTTTTAAATACACGACATGGATACCAGTCTCCATGTTTTCATGTGTAATTGTTTATTATATACTATGCATTCCTGTACTCTCGTATATTTAAGGCTTTGTATAGAAACCTACTGTAGTACCTCGTACCCACGTCCCGACACACGTACGTAGGGCATGATACAGTCTTTGAAGGGTTCAATTTTTAAAATATAAGATCATTCAATCTTCATCTATGCTGAATTGTAAATGCATTAGTGCACTCGCAAGCCTACACGTATGTCTTACAGATCTAATGTTTGTTATGTTATAAAATAAGGCCAGAATTGCAAAATTGTTTATCTTTGCTATTTTATCCTTCATCAAAATAATCTGTCACTATAAGTGTCACTATAAATAAGCTGCCCTGTCAACCCTCATGCATTAGGCGTGATTGTCATGCATTTGCTGGAAAAAATGAAATCACGCATCAATTTCGCGTGTATGATAAAATGTCACGCAAATCACGCATTATGTTGAAATTTAAAAAATTTGCTTTCTATTTTATAACTTGCTGATAAGGTTAAAACAAATGTCGAAAAAAGGCGAACGCATGCACATTCTTTTCACGCGAGTTCTGTATATCACACATTTGCTTTGAAATATGTGTATATGTCACGCATTTTCTTCAAAATATTTTGTACCATTTTGGATGTTGACTATACTCGTGCTACAAATGTACAAAGTGGATTAAGAATATAACTATACAATTGAATAATAACTTAATGGAAATTGGTAACCTGCCTAGAATGTCAAGATAAGGCTGTCCCAAGGTTAAGAAGGAGCATTATACCCAGCTCATTTGGAAGAATAATTGACTTAACATCAGGGTATCATCAAGTCGATACATGCTGATATCCACATGCTAATAAGTCAATGGAACCAAATAAAATAATAAAACAAAATATGAAATGAAAATCAAAGGTCACTATGACCTCAATAACACTTAGGATCCACCTGAACACTATGCCATAATTAACTCCTCACTAAATACCATATTACATGTATATGTCATAATGGTCATGAATGACCTGGGGGCAGTTTTTATATATACAAGGGGTGATCAATAAGTAGTGGACGCTTTTTTACACAGATACTTTTTATGGGCCAATCCTTTTGATATTCCTATCAGTGGTACATCATTCAATTATCTATCAACTCTGAAGATTTGAAGACAAAATATATAATACATGTTGATATATCCTTATTTTTGTGAAGGAGGTACAGGTACCCCAGGACCGACCTTTACATCACATATTCAGTTTTTAGCAAGTTTGGCAAATTTCAGTTAGATTTTAACTTTTTTCATATGTAACAATTGTTGTGTTGTTTGAAATATTTTGCTGACTGGTAACACACAAACAGTAAGTATTGTGATGTCAGAGTGTTGTATGGTCGGAGTTTGCAGGTCAATTAGAGGAAGCATTGTGGAAGAAGGGGTTGGCGAGAGAAGGAAACACCCTACTCCATATGGACAATGTACCAGTCACAGATCTCAAAATGTTCAGAAAAAAATATCCCTGGACCTCAAAATTGAGCCCTTGGCCAGTGCACCATATTGTCCAGATCTGCCCACATGTGACTTATTTATTCCTATAGTACTTATTTCTATAGACAAGGGACGCAGGTTTATTGACATTGATAAAATCAAACAACCCGTGCAACTGCATCTTGCTACCATGTCAGAGAATGGATTCACCCTTGTCTCACAATCTTGAGTTAAGAGAATGAACAATTGTGCATATGTAGCACTTGATGGAACCTATGTAGAGGGCCCTGTAGAATGAATGTGGCATGAATACACCATAGTGATGATAAAATATTTAAAATCAACTATGGCATAACAAAATGGGGTAATTCATGACCATAATGGTTCATTTTGTTCAGCCTGCATTCAACTGCGTTGCATGTTAAACAAGCTAAAATATCTATAGAATGTTTGACTTAAATGTCGGTCCCGGGGTACCTATACCTCCCTCACGGAAATAGAGATATATCAAAATTTATCACATGATAAGGAGTGTCTAAGCATTTTGATTGGTCAATTGTGATGATGTATATTCCGTATCACACGACACGTGGCTGATTTCCATGTGATACGGTGGGCTGTATCACTATGGAGTCAATAGCAACGATGTGACGTCACTGATTATGTCACTTCTAACTAAGGAAAACAATATGACGTCAGCATACTGATTCACAAACAAGTACGAATACAACGGTATGACGTCATATTGTTTCAAAGCGAAATCAAAAATTATAATAGTTATCAGGAGTACAGGGTACTGAACAGAATCATATAATAACAGAACTGACCAAATCAAAATACTTCAAAATTCCTAGACATGTGATAAAATCGTCATCACACGTTTCAGCTTATGTGATACAGGAAATATTCCACTCGGGTAACAATGTATCACCACTCAAGCTTCGCTTTCGTGGATGATACAGTGTTACCTTTCGTTGAATATTTCCTGTATCACATGTTGAAACGTGTGATAACTGATAATATTACATGTTTTGTTTTCAAATCTTCAGAGTTGACAGAAAATTGAATGATGTATCACTGGTAGAAAAATCGAAGGTATTGGCCTATAAAAAGCATCAGTGTAAAAAAGCGTCTATTACTTATTGATCACCCCTCGTACTTACATGTAGTATGACGTATCCTTTATCTATTAATGCTCGTTCACTAGAAGCAATCTTCACTAAAATTGTTTTTCATTTGCTGGGGACTCCCAGGAAATCGTCTTTAAGGTGTGACTACACTATACTGCCACGTTTAGGTTGCATTACAACCTTGTTTTTATGGGTGTTCTACTCTCCCCATCATCCAATTCAGAATCACCATCCACAATTGAGCAAACAATTACACTTTCGTGTGTTGGGCTGAATTTACAATCCCAGAGATTTAAATCATTGTTCCCCTTGCTGTGATTAAACAAAATGAAGCACAAAATTCCATTTAGCAAATCCCCGACATATTTAAACCTAATTTAGCATAGATTTTCCCTATTAAACAAGCCTTTGAATGGCACTATTTTTAAAAAATTGATTGGATAATCCTTTAAAGCTTTGAAAATTGAACCCTTCAAAGACTGTATCACGACTCACGTACATGGGTATAAGGTACAAGTTTTTTTTTTATACAAAGCCTTTATTTAATAAGTTATTATACAGTGCAGAAGCTAGACCCTATTAATGTTACATAATTTTGCAGAGCAATTGACTTTAATCAGGACAATGACATCACAAAGAAATCCTGTATTTTGATTGGTCAGATTTCTACCTACAACCAATGACATCACCAATATTTCATATTTCTCTGGCCTCTCAAAAGGTGACAGGCTTTACTGAATAATACAATCCCTGGGCAGTCTAAATCGATTGATGGAACTCATTTTATATTGTTTTATTCAAGCACATCAAGTAATCTTTTGTAATATTGGATAAATAACGTCTTGTCAAATAACTTAATCGCCCAGTTTCTGGTGACAATACACAATATATCTAAATTCCTCTGATGGATGATTGTCCCACACATGATTTGCAAATCGTTCAGTGAGTGTTGGAAATTCAACCAATGGATGGCAGTGTTAACAGGCAAACATCACAATTTAGTCTTGCAATATATTGCCATATTTTCAAGAATAATGGAAATTTTGGATGTTTGCTATATTTGTAACTTTTCTGTATATTTAGGGTGTCCTGAATTCAAATCTTATGGATGCAATTTGTGTACTTTGTGGCATTAATTTGAACAGCCATTTCAATATATGCATCCCAGGGTCCATTTTTCTTAAATTTTTTCAATTCATTGAATTTGTATTTGCTAATTTTAAAGGAAATTTATAGATCTAATAACTTTAATTGTGATTTTACATGATATCTTACATATTTTCCCATTTGTTCTGGGAATTTCAGGTTGAAACAGTGAAAATGATTAAAAATGTTTGATTTTTCCCCTTGTTTTAATCATATTTTGGCCAGTTTTTGGCTTCCAGTATACAACTGCGCATTGTTTAAATATAGCAATAGGTGCACTTGTAACGATCGGATTATTACTAAAACTTCCAAATATCATTAATGGAATATGAACAGCAGATAATTACCATAGGTAACATATTTGGTCTATACAGAATGACATTACTCCATATTAAAGATGTAGTATGGTACCCCTACCCCATTCTTCTAATTTAGTGATTTCAAGAAAAATACATGTATTAATGATACATATTGATAGCTTTTATCACATTGGCTTGTGTTGATAATGTCCCTATAATGCTCACGTGTAATATTTAATGTGTAATGATCAATAAGCATCCATAGTTATCAAGATTTGTCTAAATATAATACATTTGGTCAAATTTATGCAGTACCTCCCTATTTTTGAAGTAAAATAGCTATACAAATAAGATTCAATATTCTCTTTACCAAGGACTAAATGTATTCATAGTGACTGGATCGTTCCTAAAACTACCAAATATCAAAAAGTGCAAACAGTAAATAAATACCATAGGTTACATATGTAGTCTCTCCAAAATTATATAACTTCATAATATAGTTAAAGTATGATACCCCTACCCCATTTTTATAAAATACTGATTTTCAAGAAAAATACATATATCAATATACATAACTCTTTTTAGCAGGCTGGTTTATCTCTAAAATGCTCACATGTGATAAGTAGTGTGTAATGATCAATTAGTATCCATAGTTATCATACTTGGTGTTACGCGGTAAACTCGATAAAAATATATGTCATATTCCTCGCCAAATATGGCTTATTCACCTGCGGTATATGGCATACGCACTTACCAATGAGAATGCGATACAGAAGTATGCAATTGTCAATTACATTGATTGAGGACAAAGGAAAATGACAAAGATATGAGGAAAATGTAGGGCTTTCATGTTTTTACCACCCCTGTACATTCATAAATACATGTACATTAAAAAGTGTCATTTTTGCCTATAATGCACTAGATGTGATATCATACTTGAAATCTACATGTAAAATTACATCTAGAAATGTGGTTTAAACAGTTGTTTAACAATTTTGAAAATTTAATTTTCATAAAAAATGTGCCTTAGGCTGGGGAGATTCACCATGTTATAAAATCATAAATTTAAATTGAAATATCTTCTTTTTATTGGACAGACAATATATTGTTTTACTGGACATATTTTCAATTGTATAACAACTATCAGATACATAGGGTTAATATGAAAATTGATCGACTAGAACTGATGGATATTCAAGTTTAAGGGGACTTTCTTATACAGTACCATGTCATCTGACCCGAATTAGTCACCTAGTGGTGAAACTGGGAAGTACCTACTGGCATGTGTATATTCATGCTAAGGGAGCATGTCAAAAGTTCAATGTAACACAAAAAGCTATATACAAGTATTATCAGTTAAGTCCCAGACCCCCCCCCCCTCCTCCTGTTAACTATAAAGGAATATGTTGACACAGGCAATTCTTAACAAAAAATATATCATCATGTACCTTGTTGATGAGTCTTTCATATTCATTAGAAAAAAATTGGCTGATTCAATTCCCTTGGGATCAATGTTGGTCCCAGACACCCCCCCCCCCTCCCCCCAAACTGATAATATATAGCTTATTTGATGACATTGACCTTTTGACCTGCTCCCTAAACACTACCAATGTTGATGACCTGTAAAAAGGTAATGAGTATTTCCATTCTGCAGAAATATGCATGACATTGTATAGTTTCTGGAAAGATTCCATTCAATAACCAATATTTTGTTGATTCAGGATGCTGGCATGCAGAGCAGTGAGAATGTGACTGTTGAGATAAACCAGACTGGCCAAGTACCTGTCATTCTAACAGAGGAACAAGACAACACTGCCACAGCACAGCATCTAGCCAATCAGGGTATGCAAACATATATTATGTTTCTTTTTGTATTACAGATTATCTCAATAAATGGGATAAATACTTAGTAAATAAAAATACTGTTCATGGTGACTTTAGTTCAATGATTCGATTCATACATGTTTATCTGAGATGTAAAAACGTTAATATAAGGTAAAATGCCTTCAAAATTAAAACATATTGTTCATGTATGTGCATACATACAGACTTTGTTTCAAAAATCTGGCAATGTTTTGCAAAGTGCAAAAACAGTATATGGTAGATTTGATGAGCACAGTGTTATTAATTTTACAATTTTAATTATAAAATGAGTTTGGGACATCATCAAAAAATTAACTACTTCATTATCGCACAGGAAATAGTTCGAGTTGATGGATAGTTCAAAGGATCCGTTACCAAATGTACCTTAAGGTGCCCCCAAAGGTTTCACCGAAAATAATATGGAAATAGTTACTTTTTATCAATTATGAACAAATCAAAAATGAAATTAGGTCATTTGGATTAAAAGTAAGGTCATTCAGTGCATTTAAGATTGACTATGCAAATCATTATAAATATCATTTTAGGGGTATGTTAGTCTTCATTCATGACCATTTTAAGTATGTTGACCATTCATCAATCAATATATCAGAACATTAAGGGCAACATATTGAAAACACATACAGGGTGTTCAAAAAATGCAACCCAAAGAAATCTCTATATCTTGGAAAATACTAATCCAATTATGTTCATATTTTCAGGAAAGAAGGAAGAGACTGTGTATGTACAGGGTGGGCCAAAAAAACGCCACTTTTTTTTCAAGACACTATTACTTTTTTATTTTCAAACCTACATACCCCAAATTTTGCAGTTATATAGTGGCAAGGGTTTTAAGTAATAATATAATGTAACAAGTCCTTCAACTGAGATTATATTTGATCTAAAAGAGGAGTTTAATTGGTCCGCCACCATATTTGATGATAGATTTTAGTTTTAGTCGCCTTGCTGAAATAGCAGTATCAATGAAATGTTAGCATAATTTTTTTCACCATGTCTTAATTGCCAGCTTTAGTTGAGCAATTTTTTAGATTGGGTGCCTTCATACCATCTCCTGGAAACCTTCCCATACCCTATACTCACTGGGGTTTGCATCAGGGCTATTGGCTTGGCGGTTTCATTTGCTATGCAAATTATGATTTTGCATCAAAAATTAAAAAAGTTATAGCATTTTGAAAAAAAAGTGGCGTTTTTTTTTGGCCCACCCTGTATAGCCCCTGTTGTTAGTTAGTTGTAAAACATGATGTCTTGGTCACTTGCTCAAAAGACATTTGTACTAGCAAAATACGAAAAACGCTCATGGAAAATCACTATATCTTGGAAAAATACTAATTCAATTATGTTCATTTTTCTGGAAAAGAAAGAAGAGAATATGTATGTATAGCTCCTGTTGTCAGTATGTTGTAAAACATGATGCCTAGGACACCTGCTCAAATGACAGTTGTACTAGGAAAATATGAAAATGCAGTCAAAGGTGACTACCACAGCAACAAAACCAAATATTAACCAGTGTTTAGGCACTTCAGATTTCGCACAAATTATCCTCATTCAATGTGTGGTGAATTTGTGGAGTTTCATCAAAATCACTCCATGTTCTAAATTCCTTCTTAAGTCTCCCTGAACCAGGGCATTTGACTGCGATTTGAAAGCATTTCAACCATGACTGTAAAGTTCCTGAAGTGATTTTTTTGATTTCACTCTACAGATTTACCAAACAGTGAATGAAGATGATTTGTGCCAAAGGACGAGTGGCTTATAGACCCTATATTAGCCCCCAAGATATTTAGAAAAAATTGTACAGGATATCAAAGAAGTGACTTTGTTTGATAACCAGATCCCAAAATTAGGTCATTCTGACATTTATATTTCAAAATATAGGTCATTCTATTCAAAAATACAAACAAAATATTGACCAAAATATTGACTAGTGATGTCTACAAAAGAAGTTTGCGAAACTATATCAGAAAAGAATTAGTGCAGTCAGAATGTGGGTTTCGGCGTGCGTTCTGAGGGATTTTATGGGACATAATTTTTCAAGTTCCTACTATGATTATACATATTTTTATGGATTATTAGATCTTAGTTTTTCAGCTTTTAGATTTTGTGGCCATTTTACCCCCCATGGGCTAAAATTTGGACCCCTACTATAAAATTGGGCAAGAACTCAAAAAATACTCAGTGGAATGTTTCCAAATTACTAAGTTATATTTGTATAGGCTAACTGAATATATGATAAAAATTTCATGTCACATGGTTAAGTGGTTGCCATGGAAATGGATAAAACATGCCCTTCGGGTGTCAATTTTCAGGCCAATTTTTCAGGATTGACAGAGTCATTTCATGCATATTTTGTCACCAATGTGTTAGGAAGGGTTAAAATGTAAATAGAAAACTTCTATAATATATTAGCAACAATTGTATGTAAAGATCAGTCCACAAAACCTCAGATTTTGGCCTTGTATTGGTCCATGACTTATACAGGGGTCTATTTCATAGACTCGAGCTCCCACATTGGATGGATGCTATAACTTTTGAAATAATGGAGATACAGGTCTCATTTTTTCAGATCTTCATAAATGGTTAGTTTTAAGTATCTTATTATACTTTGGGAGCTGACATGTGATTGGTTGCCATGGTAACCAGGGTTTTAGGGGATTCTGACCCCAACATTGGATGGATGCTGTAACTTTTGAAATAAGGGAGATACATGTCTCATTATTTCAGATCTTAGACAATGATTGATCATAAATATTAAATTAGACTTTGGGAGCTGAAATTTGATTGGTTACCATGGTAACTAGAGCTTTATTGAAATTTGGACCTCAATTCATAAATGCATTAACGTTTGAATTTAAGCAGATACAGATATCATCATTTCAGATCTTAAAAATTAATTAGATTTGTGTATTGATTTCGACTTTGTAGCTTAGCATTTACTTGATTGTCATAGTAACCATGTTTCGTCGTCATGGTACCCCTAATTTTTTATTTCAGTCTTACCTTCATTTGAGAATGGTCAATTCACAACATGTTATACCAAAATGCTCAAAATTATAATTTTGCTCTTAATTTCAGCAATTTATCCTGTCTGACAGTATAGCCTTATTCCATTCTACTAGTTCTCACACATATTCTGACTCCCAACTTGTTTTTACTCATCATTATCGTTTTCATCTTCCACAATTGCCTCTTAATTTAAAATATCAACAATTTCTATTGGAAAGAAGGATTCTTTTGACCATTCTTGTGTTAAAGATTCGTCAGGGAATTCACAGTTCATTCATGCAGTGTTGGGCATAATGGTAGAGCTGGGTTTAGGCTGGTGGGAATGTGTCCATACATAGGTTGGATAATTTACCCTCTTCAAATGTGAAAGAAAATGCCAACACCTTCATAAGTGAGGGCAGCACTGTTCTGTTTTGTTCTGTATCTCATGGGAAACAGCTCATCTCGTAATCTATTAGTGGCAGTTATTTTTCTATTTCTGCTGTATTTTTGCAGGTGAACAATTCAACTTTCGATTTTATGGTAGCGGGAATTCCTATATTGTTTCCTATTGAAGAAAACAACTTTAAGAATTGTTTGTCTTCCAGTTGATTCACTCTTCCTTTGTTCAGAAAGGCACTGGAGGAATCTGATCCAGTAAAGAGCTTCTGACATCTAATGGGACAGAGTTCACATCAGTTGAGGTTCTTAAAATTATTTTCTTCATAATAGGAATCAATATAGAAATTCCTGACACAATAAAATCCAAAGTTGAATTGTTCACCAGTAAAAGTACAGCAGAATTACAAAAGTATATTTGTAACTTACATCAATAGATAACGATATGAGCTGTTTCACATAAGATATTCTCCAAAACAGAACAGTCCTGCCCTCACTTATGGAGATGTTGACATTTCAACTCTTCCCATCTTTCAAGATTGGTCCTTCACTGCTTTCATAGCAGCTAATATAATGCAACGAATTAAATGATGAACTCTTCCACCTTGTAATGATTGCTCATTATAACATTTGAAGAGGATGGATGATAAAACTTATATTTGGAAGTGGAAACATTACCCCACATCTCCCAGGAGTTCACTGTATATAAACCCTTGAGGGGATCCTCAGCTCAGGTGGGTTACTTTTGACATTTGATATGGCAATGGACCCAAATTTTAGGATCTGGTATGAGAATGCTCTCCAAATTATGACTTGAGAGGTATGGCAATGGTCAGATTTGGGATTGGTCGTGAAAAATATGTTGCCCCTCACTTGTTGTACATGTATGGCATTGATCTAGTATATCCTTAATGTGAGGTTGTTTTTGGTTGTTTTCCTCAATGATCTGCCTTCTTCTCGAGGCATTAGAAATTTTGAATGGCCATGTTTTCATATCTAGATATTTGGTATGGGACTGGTCCTATATTTGGGCATTTGGTATGGCTTTTGAGCATTATTTTGGTTGATATCGGAACACATTCAAATTTGACAGATTGGATTGGAACATATAGATATTTGAGGGTTCAGCCTAGGATCCCAGCCAAATTTTATATACAGTGAACCCACAGAGTTCACTGTATATAAATGTATATATACTGTATGTATATATACATTCTGCCAAGTCCAATACTGCATGAATGGACTATATCCCCTATATCCAGAATGGTCAAAACAATCCTTCATTCCAACAGAAATTGATGTTAAGAGGAAATTGTGCTAAATTAAAACAGTAATGATGAGTACAAATGAACAAATTAGGAGTCAGAACTTTTGTAAGAACTAGTCGTATGGAATAAGGCAATATTGTCAGACATACATGTATTGTTTACTAGTATTTGATATTTTATGAGCCAAACAATGATTGCATCTCTAGTATTACAATATTATTGAGTCATGAGCATGTAAATCATATAAAATAGAAAAAAATCCCCAAATTAAGAATAAAATGGTAACTTTGAGCAATTTGGTATTTTATGTCA